CATCAGTAAAAGTTGAAATCATAAGTGTGTGTTTTCAAAATTGCCCCATATATTACCAAAAATATTAATATTAGTTAGTTTAGAACAGGAGTGCTATGTAGTTAGGACTCAGTCTGATCCTTGTTCTTGACCATATTTTGTCTCACTTATATACCTTGAGTACATTTTCGTATTTGCATTCAAAACCTATCTCACTTTCCATACACATTTGAAAAGTGGTCCCTTTATTGAGAGTAAGAATAATTATAGGTCAGGTATGTAAGATGTAATGCTTATCATTAATGCCTGATGGTATGCTTTGCGTTACAAGGAAGCTTTACAATTAGCAGCTAAGGAAAATGTTTGAAGATATGTTTGTGTCTTTCTATGTATATTAATAGCAAAGTTGCTCTAGTTGGAGGTGTTTCTTTTTTACTTTTTATTGTGATTTGGATGAAAATTTACAAGCAATTCCTCTATATTTTGTTTTGTGACAATTGATTGCAGTCTCCACAGTATAACAGCACTTTTCCACTTCCTCTCTGTTTACTGTTTCCATTCAACATGTAGGTTGATTGTTTTAAGGAGTGCATATCTCTCTGGTGCTGTTCATCTGGTATGCCTATTATTTGGCTGAAAGTTAAGTCATGGGGATAAATACAGTTCCAGACTTAAAGGATGTCTAAGGGTTATAGCCAGGGTTCTGTCAGATCAATAAGCCTGGCCTTTGTTATGATTTTCATTTTTGTTCTGCAATGTTTTCCCACTCTCTCCCAGATCTTCTAATGTGATCCCTTTCAGAGCAGTCACCATTGGTAGCATGAGCACTGTTTACTTCTGGTCTCAGAGTTGTGGAGGCTGAGGTTCATGTGGTTCATTAGTCATTTGGACTAATTGTTTTCCTTGTGTCTTTGATTTTCTTCCCTCTTTGCTCCTAATGGGAAAAGACCAGTAGTTGCACCTTACATGGCTGCTCACCGTCTTTTAAGACCCCAGTCACTACTCACCAAAGTCAGATGTAGAACATTGTCTTTGTGGCCTGTGTAATGTTGATTGGCCTTGGTGTCCCCCAAGATGATGGTCCTGAGCCCCCAGGTCCAGTGACTCATTCCTTAAAGGTATTTTGGTTATGTCTAAGATGTTTTCTGGTGTGCTGCTGTGGGTTAATGAGCTGGACTGCAAGGTCAGCTTGGATTGCTGGGTGGGCGGTTCAAGCTCACCAGCAGCTCCTTGGAAATCTCATACAGCATCACTGTGAGTCGGAACCGACTTGATGGCACTTAACAACAAGATGTTTTCATAGCTTTGCCTCATATATATATATACATATATATATATATATATGTATATATATATCTCTCATTGGATATATTTTCAGCCCATATAAATAACATGTAGAGCTATCCTTTGCCAAACCTATATACATTCATGGGTGTAATTTTTCTTTTCTTTTTAATGACTGTTTGCTTTCTTCTATATGATGTTCTTGATGTCATCCCACAACTCTTCTGGTCTTTGGCCATTAGTGTCTAAGGCATCAGATTTTTTCTTCACGTGGTCTCTAAATTCAAGTGGGTTATACTCAAGATTATAGTTTGGGTCTCATGAAGTTGTTTTAATTTTTTTCATCTGCAGTGTGAACTTTCATATAAACAATTGATGGTTTGTTTTGCAGTCTGCCCTTGGTCTGGTTTTAGTTGATATTGAGCTTTTCTCCATAGACCCTTCCTACAGATATATCCAATTTGATACCTGTGTATTCTGTCTGGTGAAGTCCAGGTGTATAGTCACCTTTTATGTTGTCAAAGAAAGGTATTTGTGATGAGTAAGTCATTGGTCTTGCAATTTCTGTCATGCAACCTCCAACATTGTTTCTACACCAAAGGCCATATTTTACAACTCTGAATCCTTCCTCTTTGTTTCCATCCTTTGCATTCCAATCACCAGTAATAGTCAATGCATCTTGATTGTAGGTTTGATCAATTTCATACTGAAGAAGTTGGTAGAGTTCTTCAATTTCCTCATCTCTGGTTTTAGTGGTTGGTGCGTAAATTTGAATAATGTGGTATTAACAGATCTTCCTGGTAGACGAATGTATATTATCTTATCACAGACAGTATTATACTTCAAGATAGACCTTGAAATGTTGTGTTTGACCATGAATGCGATGCTGTTCCTTTTGAATTTGTTGTTCCCAGAATGGCAAGCCATGTGATTGTCAGATTCAAAATGTCCAATATCAGTCCATTTCAATGCACTAATGCCTAGGATATCCATCTCTATGGGTTCCATTACATTTTTGACAACTTCCAATAGTCCTAGATTCATAGTTCATACATTCCATGTTCTGATTATTTATGGATACTTGCAGCTATTTCTTCTCATTTTGAGTTGTGCCACATCAGCAATTGAAGGTTCTGAAAGCTTAACTCTATGCACATCATTAAGTTAGTATCTGCTCTGAAATGGCAACTTTTCTCTAGTTGTATTTTGAGTCCCTTCCAACCTGAGGGGCTCATCTTTTGGCACTATTTCTGACAATGTTCCACTGGTATTCATAAGGTTTTGGTGACATTAGAAAGCATCTGCCTCTCTTCCTTTCTAGTCTGTTTTAATCTAGAAGCTCCATTGAAACCTGTCTTAATGTGGCTGACCCTGCTGGTACTTAAAACACCTGTGGCATAGCTTCCAGAATCACAGTAACACATAAGCCACTCCGGTAGGACAACGTGACAAACAAGTGGTAGCAACTATTCCTGGTCACTTGCAATGAATGTTTCTGTCGTGTGTAAGCCTTTACTTGTTTTATTTATTGTTTTTTATTGTGAATTGAGTGAAGGTTTACAGAGCTGATCATCAGTTTTACATTCATCAGATCATATGCTTTGCTTCATTACATGGTTGCAGTCCCCTCCACGCACCAGCAGTTATCAACTTTAACCATTGAATTCCTCCCTGTGTTTCCCGCCACCCCCATCTTTTTTTCTGCCAACCTCCCTCCAGTTGTATATTGCTTGCCCTGTCACCCATGTTAATGCGTGTCTACCCTCTAGCGCATCTGTCATTTCCGTCTCCCCCCAAAACTATCATAGATTGTTTCTTTTATAAAGAACCCCCATTTTTTTTTTTCCTTTTTGATATACCAAAACAAACAAACAAAAAACACACCGTAATATATAATTGTTTAAATAACTAAAGGGCACATTCTGGAAGCCAGCCTCCTGGCCGCCAGCACACAGCCTTTCTCTTTCCATGAGTCTAGAGTCCTTAGCTGCTTAATCTCTCTATGCCATCACCTCTGCCTCCATCTCTGGTGTCGCTCCTTCTCTGGATATGGCCCTATGTTCTGCTCATGCTCTTCTCTGTTGATGGGCCCTCTAGTAGTTAATGTAAGATTAACTACTCCCCCCTTCTTGTTATACAACTTCTACCTTTACAGCTGTGGCATTCGCAATTAGGTATGATAGCAGTTACTCACTATTGAATCAAATGAATCGCACACCCATCTAGATAAGAGGAAAGTATTCAATGGGGATTCTACCTTCCCACACACACTCTAAAACTAAACTCCTTCTTGAAAACTTGTAAGCCAGCCACTTTGTGCCTTTAATAGCCCTCCCACCCCCAATTTTAGGTGGTGGTGTGCCATGGAGTCGGTTCCAACTCATTAGCGACCCTGTACAGGGTTTCCGACACTGTACATCTTTATGGGAGCAGAAAGCCTCATCTTTCTCCTGTGGAACAGCTGGTAGTTTCAAACTGCTGACCTTGAAGTTAGCAGCCCAACTCATAACTGCTACACTACCAGAGTGCATTCAATTTTAAGTAGCCAGTGTCTAAGTTGCCCATTCCTATCAACCCTGTGTACAGAGGAAATAGGTTTGATCCTTGATGTGAAGACTCCTTCTCTCTCTGTTGATATTTTGAGCTAATACTGTGTCCATAAATATAGGTCAGCTTCATCAAATTGTAGCAATCTACACTTGCCTCCTTTATAAAATTTATCTTCCTGTAGTCGAGCCCTGGTCATCAGGTCCTTGAAGCTAGGTCAAATGGGTACTGTCTGCAAGTTTTAGCATTCTAGTGTGTCTCCCCTCACTTCATAGCAGCTGGATGCTTCACTCTCAGTGCTTGCCCTCTGTGGCTAGGTCCTTGTCCATGGGCTCAGGAGTCCCCAAGTCTCACCACATTTCGGACCAACCAGCTCTTCCTCTTCTGTCTATCAGCTTCAGGTCGATGGGAGTCTATGGAACGTGGTCGAATTAAGCCCATATCTTCATTGTGGCCTTTCCCCACTTCCACTGACAAGTAGACCAACTTGGTCACCAGGAAGCTTACATGCCTCTTTGTGTGTTCTCTTTGGGTTTCAGTCTTGGAGTGGGGTTTGTTCTGATGGGACTTGATTGCTTGCCTTGATGGCTCCCCAGTGAACAACTTGCTTGTTCTTGTAATAACAAGTCAGACTGCCATTTTTTTATAAAAAATGTTTTATTGTGAATTATGTGATAGTTTACATGGGAGAACATTGGTTTTACATTCATTCTATCGTATATTGTCTCATTGCCATGGTTATAATCCCCTCCATGCAATCCTTCCCCCGTTCCCCCCATCTTTTTCTATGTTCTGGAATCGGTTGAGACAGTGTCAGTTTTTCTCTGAATGTTTGGTAGAATTCACCAGTGGAGCTTTCTGGCTAGGGCTTTTTTTATTTTGGGAGGTTTTAATGACTTATTCATACAGAGGAACCAGTAAAGCATTAGTGTTTACTTTAATACTTAAATAACACTGCCATTGAGTTGATTCTGCTTATAGTAACCCTATGAAGGGTTTCTGAGGCTGTAATTCTTTATGGAAGCAGAAACCCTTCTTTTTCTCCCAAGGAGCTGCTGGAGGATTCAAACTGCTGACCTTGCGATTAGCAGCCCGACATGTAATCCATATTATTCAGTGGATTCCTTGTAGGATTTAATTTAAGTGGGAAAAATTGGTTTGATTAAACAAAATAGTCTTTCTCTTTCCAGATTGCTGCAATTCTCCGGAAACGAAAATTAGACTATTATTTACACAAATTACTTCCTGAGATCCTACAATCTGCTTCATTTCTGACTGCTAATGGGGCCTTATATATGGCTTTCTTTTGCATTTTAAGGTTGGTATTCATAATTACCATTGGAACTTGATGCACATTCTTTTTTTAAATCATAAACAAAAAGATGTTTACATAAATACTGGTCAGGCCTTTGTTTTTTCCTCTGTGAATACCAAGAAATGTTTATAATACCAGAATCTGTGAGCTCTTGATCAAAAGGTGTAGGGGAAGCATACATTGTAGATTATTGATTTGATTGATAATGTTGTTGTTGCTGTTAAGTGCCGTCAAGCCCTATCCAACTCACAATGACCCTGAATATGGTTTCCGAGCCTTTAAATCTTCAAGGGAACAGAAAGCCTCATCTTTGTCTTGAGGACCGTTTGGCGGGCTTGAACCATGGACCTTGTGGTTCTCAGTCTAGTGTTTTGGAGTATTTTAATGCATCATACATTTTCTGAAGCCTACTATGTATGTATGACTAGCAAGTTGTTCATTAATATTCTTAATTTTTCAATTTCATAGATTAGAAAATTAAAACAACTGACTCTGATATAAGTTAGCTTTATATGCTGTTAGTATAGAAATTTATAACTTCTGGCATATGCAGCTGTTGAAACTTTTGGTCCTGATTCAGTCTTATTTTTTAGAAACTTTTTATTGTGAATTGAGTGAAGGCTTACAGAGCAAATCATTATTTTTATGTCAAATAGATCATACTTTGTTTCCTCTCAAATGATTACAATCCCTTCCTTGTAACTTTGGTTATCCCACTTCCTCCATGTGTTATTTCCATTCCATCCTCCTTTCCAGCCCTTCTGATACATGTCCCCAGATACATGTTGCCCTTTTGACCTTGTATGGTTGACCACTCCATGGTGAGTTTACCTCGAGTCAGTCTTAGTGCAATATCTGTATCACATACCTCATTTATATTAGTTATAGAAATGTAATTCTAATCTCTTTTGAGTGCTATGATATAACTAACAAGTTTATTAGATATTTCCTGTTTATTTTTTTCCCCTCACTGATTGTTGAAAAAGGTTTTTTTTTTCAACAATAGAGCAAATGTTCAATTATTTAAAATTACAAGCTAAGGGAAACAAACACGATAAATAATATATAAAGCAGTAATAGTTAATTGTTCCTAAGTTTGTGATCTTTACTTTTATCCTCCTCTCAGGATTACCCAGTCAGTAACCCAAAGTAATTTTGTAGGTCTATTTTAACTGCAAATATAATTTCTAAGTAAGTTTTTTTCAGAGCATTTACATTTATAATCTTTTACAGTATTAAGAAAATAATTGGTAAGATTTTTGTATACTATTGAGAAAATCCTGCCTCTGACTTGAAAACGTATGTAACAAACTTTCTTTATCATATGGTCTCTGAAAAATTTCTAAAACTTGTCAAAACTCTAAAAGTAAACTTATAACAATTGTTGTTGTTGTTAAGGGCCGTTGAGCCGGTTCTGACCCATAGCGACCCTTTACAGGGTTTCCGAAACTGTAAATCTTTACAGGAGCAGAAAGCCTCATCTTTCTCCCGTGGAGTGGCTGGTAGTTTCGAACTGCTAACCTTGTGGTTCATAGCCCGATTCGTAACCACTATGCTAGGTTTATAAAAATTGCAATAAGAATAGCTTACCATGATAACATATTTCTTTATGTTTTATGGACCTATTTGGTTAAGCAAAATAGTTCTTATTTAGGTAGTATCATGTTCTTCCAGTAACTGAATAATTGAGTGCATTTTCCTCTTATTTTTTATATCTAATAACTTGTTAAGTTCTTCGTAGATTTTATATTGGTCTTCTCAAACGGAAGGTTTCTTATGTTTATTTCAGAAATACCCATTATGTTTTCTCAATAGCTTCTCTAATCCTTTTTTTTTTTTTTTAATTGCTTTTTTTTCAAGTCACTGGTTACAGTATATGTTCAAGTACAGATAGATTAGACTTTGAGTTATAGTAAAACATTTATTTTCAACTTTTCACTTGAAAGAAGTAAAGCCCTTGGTAAATCTCATGGAACTGAAGTTCAAACAGAAACACATAGAAGATTTTGTGATTGCATTACAGTAGTACTAGACTGTAGTTATTCAGAAATTAGTTATGAAATGATTGAACAATTTTATATAAAGTGCCTCAAACATGTGAATAAATATTTTAATAAAGATGATTACGGTCATTGTTAGCCTCGATTACCAGAGCTATATGGATATTTTGTGGTAGTTTCCTACAGATATGATAATCCTTTTAAAGTTGAGCTTCAATCAGAAAATTTCCATCTGACTCTCGAACCTTATCTGTACTACATATTACAGTTGTTCTGTTATTGTTGTTAAGTGTCATTGAGTAGGTTCTGACTCATAGTGACCCTATATAGGATTTCCAAGGAGCAACTGGTGGGTTTGAACTTCCAACCCTGTGGTTCACAGTCTAGTGCTGATCCTATAGCTTCACACCAGAACTTTACATATGTTCTAGGGGGTATCAGAAAGTTTGTGGACTTATTCCACAAGCTTTGTAAAGTCTCCTTAATATCTATGTAACCTTTTTTTCCCCTATAAAATTTCATTTAGCAGTTGACCAACTTTGTTAAGACAATTTCTTTGAATACTTAACATGTTGCTTCTCCTTTTCTTAGAAACATTATGTTTGAAAGGAAAAAAAAAACAACAACTTAGCATCTTCAATTTTTTTTCCTCTCTAACATATTAAGCAGCTCTGAAAGAGGCTCACATTAAAAAGTCCTGGATAGAATAGGATAAAATGTAGGATAAAACACAAAATTATAAAATGAAGATCAGACTATTGCTCAGATAGAGACTGGTGGAATCATGAGACTATGGCCCTTGGTCTCCCCTCAGGTCTAGAACTGAGCTCACTTCTATGATTCAAGCAGTAGATAGGTGTATAGAAGGGATAACACTAATATGATATGCACACAGTAGAATGGTCAACCATTCATGCACACCATAGAAGGATCAACCATTCATGCACACCATACAGTGGTCAACCATTTGAGGTAAAAAAGGCAGCATTTATGTAAGGACACAATTCAAAAGGTTGGGAAAGACGGAGGAAGGCAAACAAACAGGGAGGAAGTGGAATAAGTGATGTTACACTGAAGGGATTGCAATCATTGAGATGAAATTAAATATATGATTTGTCGATTGTAAAACTGATGATCTACTCTCTAAGTCTTCACTCAATTCACAATAAAAAGTTAACAACAACAACAACATGTAGAGATGAGGGAAGATAAATACCAGACCACATGAAGATCACTAGTCAACCAAGGAACAAGGATCTTTCCCAGACAACAGAGATCAACACATCCCCATAAAACTGGCACCCTAGATCCGGACTTCCAGCTTTCTAAACTGTGAGAATAAATTTTTGTTGAAAAAGCTAAGAAGCTTAAAAAAAAAAAAAGCAACTAATGGCCATTTATAATGTGTGAGGCACTATGCAAACTCCTACCTTCAAGAATTATGTTCTAGTAAATGAAAACAGACATACACATATAATTAAGAAGTATGAATACTTTAAAGTAAGTGCTATAAGAAAATGTTAGCAAGTTTTATAGAAACAGAGGAGCCCTGGTATTACAGTGGATTACACGTTGGGATACTAACTGCAAGGTCATAGTTCAAATCTGCTAGCTGCTCTGAGGGATGAAAATGAGAGTTTCTGCTCCTGGTAAGATTTACAACTTGGGGAACCCTACGAGTCACTATGAGTTGGAACTGACTCCGCAATACACAACCACCACTACCACCATTATTGTAGAAACAAATTGAAACATTACAAAAGATGTTGAAAGTTTTCATATATTGAAAATCAATAATAGAAAATAGTAATAACAATTGTAATAATAGCTACATTTTCTGAGTCTTGGTGTGAGACTGTAGAATAAGCATGGGATTCCTAACTGCAAGGTCAGGAGTTCAAACCCTTCAGCTGCTCCTCAAAAACCCTAAGCAAGGTCACTGTGAGTCAGAACTGACAAGATGGTACTGAACAACAACTATAGCAACCAAGTGCCATACATGATGCTGGAAAATAACTTACGTAGTCATCCTAACAACAGCCTAACAACTGTATGAGACAGTACATTGTTGTTTCCAGTTGACAGATAAGGAAACTAAGAACACAGAGTTTGCATATTGAGTAGTGGTGGATCAAGAGAATGTCTAAATGACTGGGAGGAGAGAGGTTAGTTACTTTGCTGCTGTAGTAGTCTGCAGGACACATGGTGAGGGACTTAACTAAGACAAGGGGCAGTAAGTTGGAGAGGAATTTTATTGAGAAATTACATATATAATAACTTAAGGGAGTGACTTGACAGATGGGGTAAGAAACCAGAATAAGTTGGGAATGACTTTAATAGTTGGACATAGGTGGATGGGGAGTTGTAGGTGCCATTTTCCTAGGAAAATACAAGAAGAAGAAAAAGTTTATGAGGATAGGGGAAAGAAGAATGAGTCCAAGTTTGAACATGCTGGATTTGAGATATTGTGGGACTTTTAGTTAGATGGTGGACTGAAAAGGGGAACTTGCAACTTCTATTTGTAGTAACTGAAATGACGACCTAGGATTTTCATATGATTATTTCAAATTTGAATTTCAGGAAGATACTTGGAAAATTCTACTCATGGAGTCCTGGTTTTGGTGCCGCATTGCCAGCATCTTATGTGGCCATTCTAATTGAAAGAAAAAGCAGGTAAAACTTTGTCTACGTATTTAATAGAACTAGTTTACTGACCTACCTCAACTAGAAATTATTTTTTATTATAGGCAGAAGTAAGAAATATTTGGACGTCATTATTTTTCAGTCTCTCAAATATCTGAAATTTAAATCTTTAATAATGTTATTTTTATTTATTAATCTTACAGAAAATATACATACATTATAGAGTGATACCATCTAGTAGTGACTATACTAAAAATTAAGAGGTCTCTGATGTGCTTAAACACAGTACACTAAAATGCTGGTTTGGTTCCGTGGGATAAAGCAGTGGACCACAAGATTGGTTAGAACCACAAGGTCAGTGGTTCAGACTTAGCAGTTGCTCCTTGGAAACCCTATACAGGGTCATTATGAATCAGAATCGACTTGACAGCACTGAATAACAACAACGACAACAGCAACAAAAACAGCAGACTAAAATGCTAAATAAGGTTCTTCTCTGGAGTCATCACACGTTATCACACAGAAAATTCACAATAGTTTTCTTTTATCATCTAAGCCTGTACTTTGTTTAAGTCTAATTGAGTGACTTCTGTTAAATTCATTTTTACTTTTAAAGAGACTTCTTATTAAAAACAATGTTTCGATTGCAATCTACCTGAAAATGTTCCTTGTGAGTTAATAAGATACTGTATACAGGTAAACAGTTAAGTTCAAGTTTTTGCATGCACAAGAGAAAATTTGTCATCCCATGAATAATTATTTTTCTTGCAGAGAACTGCTTTGATTCCGTCATTAACCCAGAGAATGAAGATAGAGTCATGTTTCAAAATCTTTCTGTTTATAAAGATGTTTTTTTGTAGTTATTTATCTCCTAAGTACGTAGTCCTGGTGTGGTGCTGCAGGACAATGTGCTGGATTGCAAGATCCGTTTGAAACACAAGGTCAGCTGTTCAAATCTGCCAGCCACTCCTCAGAAACTCTATACAGGGTCGCTGTGGGTCAGAACCGCATCAGTGGCACTTAACAACAACAATTTCCTAGTTGAAATATGGATAGACCTTTTCTGATAACCAAATATGTATTTAATTCACTGAAGACTATCTTAATAGACTGTTGTAATATGTTGAAATATGGATAGACCTTTTCTGATAACCAACTATGTATTTAATTCACTGAAGATAATCTTAATAGACTGTTGTAAATGTAATAAAAAAGAAAACAAAACAAAGCCTAAGCCTATTGCCGTTGAGTGGATTCCTACTTGTAGCAACCCTGTATAGGGTTTCTGAGGCTGTGAATCTTTAACGGGAGCAGAAAGCCTCATCTTTCTCTTGTAGAAGCTGCTGGTGGGTTTAAACTGCCAACCTTGTGGTTTAGCAATCCAGTGCTTATCTTAAAGTGATTGTAACTTTTCCAGATCAATTTTAAACATGAATATTGATTTTGAAAATATATTTCAATTTTTAAAATGCCTATTACTCATATATGAAAGTTTAAAGATGTTTTAAATAAAATGTGATGCTGTTTACATACTTTTAATATTTGAACAATATGGTATCACCTTTGAAGCTATCTGCTAAATTTCAGTAAACATCTTGGAATGAGCACCTGTGTAACTACCATCTACAACTGACAGTTACCATTTTTATTTTACCTGTGTGTATATGTATGTATGTATGTATGGTTGTGTGTGTGTATTATATATGAGGGGGCTTTAAAAAATCATGGGAAAATTCCATTATCTTTTAATTACATTTTTCTGCAAACCTTTGTTTTAAAACACCCCACATATGGAAATAACTTATAGACATAATACTTGTTGTTGTTGTTGTTAACTGTAGTTGAGTTGGTTCTGACTCATAGCAACCCTGTATAGAATTTCTGAAGAGCGGCTGATGGGTTTGAACTACCGACCTTGTGGTCAGCAATCCAGTGCTTATTGATAACTACAACGCCACCTTTACCTTAATAAATACTTCAGCATGCGTCTCCTAAAATACGGCTGTTCTCCTGTATAACTACAACACCATTATCAAAGTAATTTCTTAATACTATCTAGGCTATATTGTTTTATGATAACTTTTATAGCTGGTTTTTGAAGTGGAATCTAGTGTAAGTTTATGACTCATATTTGTTATATTTCTTTACTCTCTTTTAATGTAGGATAGTGCCCCTGCTTTTTTCTCCATGGCACTGATTTATGGAAGAGACAAGGCCAGTTGTCTTGTTGTATGCAGCATATTTTTTTATTTTGTCTGAATTCCTTCCTCATGGAGTTCGTTCTTTAATTTTTCCTGTGTATTTCCTATGTCCTTGAAGTTAGGTCTAAAGGCTTGATTCAGATGCATTCTTGGTAAGAATGTACAGTCATGTGTTACTTAACTTTAACTTGATACATTCTTTTAAATAAGGTGTCATGTGATTTTGGTGTTGTGCAAACACCGTATTACATAAAGGTTTGTTGTTGTTGTTTAGTGCCTTTCAGTGGTTCCGACTCATAGCGACCGTGTATAGGGTTTCCAGTGAGTGGCTGGTGACTTTGAACCACCTACCTTGAAGTTCAAACCAACCTTGCAGTCCAGTACATTATCCTACAGTGCCATCCATACCAGGACTCCTGTATGAAAGTTGTTGCTGTAAAGTGCTGTTGAGTCTGTTCCAACTCATAGAGACACTGCATAGGGTTTCCAAGTAGCAGCTGGTGAGTTTGAACAATGGACCTTGTGTTCACATTGACCTTGCAGTACAGTGCTTGATCCCAGAGCGTCACACCAGGACTCCTATATATATAAAAGTAGTCCCTAGATTAATAGTTGCAAGGTTGGCTGATCAAACCCAACAGCCACTCCTTGGAAACCTTAGCTATACATGGTTTGTATGAGTTGGAACCAACTGGATGGCATTTAACAACAAACAACAACAATATGGGATGTATGTCATAGGGCAATGGCTGGAATGGATGACTTGGGGCCCAGAGCTGTGCTTCATAAATGATGCTGAGCCTATCAAGAGGTCTACAGCTTAATGGTTCTAAGTGTGAATACTTGACAAAGGTGGTAATCACCAATCTTTCCAATCTAATTTTTATGGTGAATAAGATGAATGGAGTTCCTCTAACCCACAATCCTTGCTTTGCTGGAGTAAACTATGATCATGACATTTTTTCATATCTTATTACTAATATTTTATTTAAGGTTTCTGCATAAATGTTTGTGAGATTGATAAGTTTGTGTGTGTGTGTGTGTGTGTATTCTTTACCAGGGTGGGAGTAAGTGTCTTACTTACTGTGTAAGATAAGTTGGGAGATTTCCTCCTTTTTTTCTTGCTGTAGAATAGTTTAAGTAACAGTGAATTAATTTTCTGGCCTTTGAAAGTTTGGTTAGTTTCTCTGAAACTTCTGGGCTTGATGACTCTTTGGGTCGTAACTCTGAGAAAAAATGACAAGTGTCCTTTATGGAATTTGGTCTGTTTAACCTTTCCGTGGAAGCTCCTTTTAGAGGCTACTTAACATTAAGAGTTGCTTTTCTTTTTTCTGGTGGGCATTTAGTTGTTTCAGTTCGACAAATTGAATAGCCCATCCTTTGCCTACTCCTCTTAAATACACTCTTTTTTTCCCATTCTTCTTATATGTAGGGTTTTTTTTTTTTTCTTCATATATGTGTGTATCTATTATCTAGCTCTTCATTCTTCTTTGTTGATATATTAGATCTGTTTCTTATAATCTTAGTTTTAAAAGAAACTTTTTGAAGACCAACACTAGTCTGAATACAATAACACTAAAGTAAAATTGTGTTGTAAATATGGAAAGCAATAACTACTTCAGGGTTAGATGTTTCCTGGAAATGAGGTGATAGCATGGATTTTGCTTGCTAGTTTATTTCCTATTTTATTTTCATTTTAGATAGGTGAACTTTTTTTTTTTTTTTTTAAAGCTTTCTGCTTTTATTTCCTTTGAGTGAGCTTTTACATTAGTATTTTATTTGTAGATGCTAGTTGTTCACAGAAGATGTGTAGTAGATTATGTGTTATCAATAGTAGCCAAAGTATTTTGGTTCTAACAGCAGAAGTTTGTTAACTCTAGTGATGTTGCTCCAGAAAAATTGATTCTTCCTCTGATGATTGAATTCTTCATAATACGGGTTGAGGTAGATAATTAGGTAATACAGTTTACAATACTGTAAAGTAGTTCTTTTGCTCTTTCTGTGTGTATGCATACATACCAACATACCAAATCTTAGTTGTGATCTAAAAAATCTTTTTTGTTGTTATGTTTCTTAGTATTGTTCAGGTGCTAGTGACTTTTTAAAGCAATTTTTTAAAGCTAAACTTTAAAACAGAAACGCAAATATTTTTCTGTTATCTCTTACCACTTTATGTGTTGTATTTTAAGCAAATCTGGAATTGTGAAAGAGTTAACTTAGTGGTTTGATTTGCTCTGAAAGAGTTCTTTACTTTCTATACATTCATATTTATATTTCATTACATATCGAGATTTTAAAGTAAGGTATAAATAGTATACAAAGATTGAAGTTTGATATGTAACTATTACACCTAGTGCCCAAATGAAACACATTAGTATTGTCATTTTATTTTACAGAAAGATATATATATATAATTATGCCTTTAATTCACACACACACAAATCAATTATATGTTGGTAGAGATAGCTGGTGGTACTGGTGGTTATGTTCTGTGGAGTCGGTTCCAACTCATAGTGACCATGTACAGGGTTTCTGAGGCTGTAAATGTTTATGGGAGCCGAAAGCCTCATCTTTCTCCCATGGAACAGCTGGTAGTTTTGATCTGCTGACCTTGCGGTTTGCAGCCCGATTCATAGCCACTAAGGTAGCTAAAAATGTGAGTGTAGGTTTAGTGGAAAGACTGGTATCTAGAATATAAAATTGGAAGTTTTCTGCATATAAATGATTTGTATAGCTGTGCAAATAGATTAGAGTGAAAAAGGCCAGAGTAGGAAGTTTGAGGTTGGAAATTGGAAAACAGCAAGATTTAAGGAGCAAGTTGTCAACATT